CTGGTCTCGCCAAACTTCAGGAGTGTTTGAGTGCTTCATCTGACTTGGCATTAGGATAAGCTGATTTGCCCTCAGGCAGGTTTTTATTCCTTCCCATTTGGATGGAGAGCCCCAAATGACTGCTCTTACTCACACATCTCACCTCAACATGTCTAAGATGCCATCGCAGAAAGGCAGAGCACAGCTCCTCTGACACTGTAATTAGAGAAACGAGGTACATTTGTGGCGTTCTGGGAAGAGAGTGTGGAAAAGCCAAGGATATTTTTTCTTCCCATGGTTGTATGTTAACATGGTTAAAATATGTGAATGTGTGTGTGTATGTAAGGCTATCATAGTAATTTCTTTGTTTTTCTTAAAGGTATTTTCTTTGCTTTTCTTTCTTTGCAGCTCCAGTGTATTTCCTCTTTGGGATTGCCTCCTGTTTTAATTGGCTTTAACATTTTCAAGCTGCCTAGTCATTTGCAATGATTCTTTAGCCAATACCAAGTGGTTCAATATGCCTGAAAATATTAACCTCCTTCCTGACTGACCTTTCTCACTTAGCTGGAAACAGCAATTCCCTGGAGCACTGGGCAGGACAGAATTAACACGGCTGCTTTCACTCAGCCGTGTGTTCCCACACCCACCCACCACTGCTCTTCCCACACGCCACCCTGACAGGGCTGCCAGGGCAAAGCTGGCATAGGGCTTCGCATGGAGGTGGTACCCTGTCCCTCAGAGATCCTCCTACCTGGCTTCACAGACAGCAACCCCAGATGGGTTTCCTGTTTTCTCTTCCCTGCGTACGAGCTGGGGAGGTAAACAGCCATGGAAGCAAAAATCCCACTGCTTGCATGGGACCTGGTCCTGGCTGGCTTCTATGCAGCCAGCAAAATGTTTCCTACTGCTCCATAAAAGGCCTGGACATCTTCAAGCCCTTGCTCTGGAAGGAGAATAAGCCATGGTGCTGCTTTCTCAGTCAAATGCCAGCAGAGGTGAGTGCCTGCCTTGCAAATCCAGCGGTGAGGAGCTCCCCTGCCCAAGCTGGGCACATTCCCCAGGGACGCACAGGTATAGCTCTTCTCTTCCTTGTTGCACGAATCACTTAGAAGAGTCTCTTAAAGTGGGATGTACTTCATTAAGCTCTAGGCATCAAAACTTAGGCTTGTTATCCAGCAAAGAGCTAGGTAGCTTGCCAGATGTCAATGAGAGACTGGGACCTTCAGAGGGTTTCTCATAATATGGAGATGACAGTCCTTCCATTGATTATAGAGATGTCTGCATCAAACAGACAAGATGCCTGATTGCTGGATGGCTAAAGTAGGGTGAGGTGGATCTGACCATACCCTTGTTGAGCTCTGTCTCCTCATCTCTGGCAAGGAGATACTAAATTTTCTTTCTTCCTGGATGTGCCTTGACTATTCAATTTAGATGTTCTTGGGCAGAAACTGTCTTTCACTATTTGTCTCTGCTAACTGTGGGAAAATAAGTGACTTTTAGCTGTCTGGCAAGCCTGAAGAAACCCAGACAAATAGTTGAAACACAGATTAAAAAGTATCTAATGCCTTTTGTTCTACTTGAATAGAAATGTTTGTTAATGAGCTCTTCACAACATTCATTTTTTTTAACCATGGCAGGGACTTCATTAGAAACAGGTAATTTTAAATATGAAAATTAACCCCCAATAATTCATTTGCAAAGCCCAGCATTTAGATATTACTTCTTCCAGATTTTGTGTTACTTTTAGCTCCTTCATATGTCGTAAGAAAATGATATTGCTGGCATTTTACATGGGAAGGTGTCCTGGTTTCAGCTGGGATAGAGTAATTGTCTTCCTAGTAGCTGGTACAGTGCTGTGTTTTGGATTTAGGACGAGAACAATGTTGACAACACAACGATGTTTTAGTTGTTGCTGAGCAGTGCTGACAATAGTCAAGGACTTTTCAGCTTCCCATGCTCTATCGACTGAGAAGGCTGGAGGTGCACAAGAAGCTGGGAGGGGGCACAGCCAGGACAGCTGACCCAAACTGGCCAAAGGGACATTCCATACCATGGGACGTCATGCTCAGTATATAAACTGGGGGGAGTTAGCCAGGGGAGGGGTGACCGCTGCTTGGGGACTGGCTGGGCATCGGTCAGTGGGTGGTGAGCAATTGCTTTGTGCATCACTTATTTTGTATATTCTTTTATCATTGTTATTATTCCTTGTTTTTCTGTCCTATTAAACCATCTTTATCTCAACCCACAAATTTTACTTCTGTTTTCCAATTCTATCCCCCATCCCACTGCAGGGGGTGGGGAGTGAGCGAATGGCTGTGTGTTGTTTAGCTGCCTGCCAGGCTAAACCACAACAGAAGGTCTAGGAGCTGGGTGCTTATTTGCCTTTGGCTCCGGAGAAGACCAGCTATAAGAAAGTGATTCAGTGATCCTAGAGGTGCTGGGTATATGCAAGCCCGGTGGGAGTGTGGAGTGCTTAGCACTTTTAGAGCTGAAACTGCTTATTTAGTTACTCAAAAATATAGTGTGAGGCAGTTGGTTTGGCATTTGTCAGGTGCTTTACAAGAGGATGGGTTGGTGCCTTGCAAAGATGACTGAACTATATCTAGACCTGGCATTGATGGGTAAATAGCTGGTATTTCCACTGCAGTGTGCATGGATTCCCTTCCAGGGCTGATGCTGCTGAAAAGTTAAGAGGGTGAACGAACCCCACTCTAGTCAATGGCCAAAGACTAACTCTCATGTTCTTAGATTCAGGTTGACCGCCAGGTATCCTCTGAATGGGGACAGGGACACTAACTGTCCAGAGGGTCAGGAAAAGCTCAGGAGAGGAATACTGACTATGCTCAGCACATTCTTGAGGACATTTAAGCTTGGCAACTTAACACAAACCTATTTTTGTCATTTTAGACAAGTATCTAGGAAATGCAGTGCTAGAGTTCAATACTTATTCCCTTCTGCTGTGATCTACTGAGGGGCAGGTTGGACAGGTAGGAGCCTGTCCTTTCTTCAGCTGCTGAGCAAAATTTTCTGCACCCGATGGCTCAGACTGCTAAGACACCACTTAGTAAGGTATTGCTCAGTGCACAGATGGCATTGCTTGGTGTGAGTGAATTTATACTCAGTGTGAATCAGGTAAGCATTGTAGGAGTAGGTAGAGGATAGTGTTCAAATCTGACATACATTTCCAGATGTTGGCTGTGGAAGGGGTGGGAGTTTCAGTTAGCATTCATTTGTGTTTTTTTAATGTTTCAGTGAGATACATCAATAACTTTAACATAGAGCTTAAGGAGATTTCACTGAGCATCTGTGCACAATATGTAAAGCAATAAATGAACCACTGGCTGGAAGAGGTCTTGACTATCCCCTGCATCACAACAGGAGCAGCCATTGTTGCTGTTCCTGGTGAGCACTTCTCTAACCTGTTCTCAGTGATGCCAGGACAGAGATCTCCCAGACTCTGAATAGGAAGTATGTATCCCAGGTAATCCCAGGCACTGCAAATCAATTACAAATGAAACAGCAGTTTTCAGTGCTATCCAGGGGGTATATTTTTTGTGCTGAGAAATTTTTATTTCAGCTGAGAAATGAAAACAAATCATAACCTCAAAATGGGGACATTTTAAAGCAGTGATATTGCAATGCCATCATTTCAAGGGTTTTCTAATATCAGGTAGTATCATCAAAGCTGCTCAAGAACATGGACAGTTCATCACTGGGATGCAGCGAGGGAAAAATCCTTATGGTTGGGAGTGTGAGATCCAAATGCTACCAGGGAACATAGCTCATGGCGGAAGCAGAGTTGTGCGCATGGCACACTGAACAGGGAAGATGGTAGGCTCCAATCACAAAATACCTCATCTCTGTTCTCCAACACAGTTAAGCACATGCTTGCTTTTAAACACATCAGATGTATTTGCCTTAATGTTAAACATGTACGTAAGTCCCACACTGAAGCACCAAGGAGGGGGCTGAGATTTTTTACGCTGTGTTACATTTCCATTCCATTTTCTCTCCTGGAAAATCTTCCACACAGAGATCTGTTATGGACAGTTCAAAGGCCACTTAGTTTTCTGTGTTTCACTTAGCTGGCTAAATTGGGAATGCAGATTTTATGTAGACTAAGGAAGTAAGATCTGCTCCTCAACCTTCAGTGAAGCTATTGCAAGTATAAACACCTAAGTTATTTCTCTAAATTAGGCAGTGTGAATACGTGGCCTCATCCAGAAAATGTTCATGGAAACTTACTACAAACCTAGTGTCTGAGTCTGGAGAGAGCATTTGCCCGCACCAGTATCACTTATTTCATAATCCCACCAAAGCTGAAGAGTTTGCCATCAGTAAAGGTGATGGGCTGGAGCATTACAGGAAAGTTGGCAGAACAATGCAATACGTAAAACAGCAAGAAAGAACAGATATTAACTAGTGTGAACAGGGCAGTGAGCAACATGCTGAAATATCAGAGATGCACCATGGATCAGTGTACGGCATAGGTCAGGACCAGATCCGGACACATACACCATGAAACATGGCAGATCGCAGCAGTGCTCAAGGCAGGCAGATGTGCTACTACTGAAATAGATGCTCCCAACCATTTCAGCAGCTTTCTGTTGGCTTGAGTTTGTCATCTGGTTCCAGCTACCCCCACAGATTGTGAGATATCTGCCCTGGGCATGCCGAGGTGAGCTCAGCTGATCTGAGGCAGCCAGCTTGGCTCATCTTGATTCCAGCAGAAAGAAAAAGGATTCTCAGATGACTCTATCAGGAGCAGATATGAGGCAAAGCAGTGGGAGGCAGCACAGCAAGGAGGTCAGTAAGCAAGTAACCACATGTGCTCTCACAATAATGAAGTGACTCTTTCTCTGTACTCTTCCTTGATGGGAAGTGACAGCCAGAAGAATCATTACCAGAGATGCCAACTTGGGCAGTACAATGACAGAGAGAAGATTATTGCCTTAACTTTGTGCCCACTGCAGCTTACAAGCCAATGAGATATAAAGGAAATGAAATGAGCTGACACCTACTTAGTCTCTTCAGAGAAGAATATTTACTTGGGTTTGTCTTGACGGCAGACTCATAGGATGGTGGGAGCTGAGAGAGGTTCTGGAAGGACCGGGAGAAGGACAGATCATAGGGTTCGGTGGCAGAAGTAAGGATGTTGTTCATTTGTGGCTGGTCTGAAAAAAAAAAACAAAACAACAGAGAAAGGCATGTCCACAGTGTGCACCAAAACAAGTTGAGAGAGGCAAGCCATTACCACAAACTCCGGCAGGGAGAAGAGTTATATCTGAGCAAGCCTCAGTGACAGGCTGTTGGACATAATTCAAACTGGCACCGGCAGATGGGTGAAAAATGGATCCTGCGGCATTGTTTCCTTGTCCACAGTGACTATGGAGAGAAGCAAACTGCTTCCTCAAAAGCACATGGACAAACCGGCCCTCCTCACAGTGGGACAGAGGGTCTGGTGCACTGTGAGTCACCCCTCACTTACCATGGAGGGCTGTGTCATGGTGCTGTGGACTGACCCCACTGCAGCCTGCATGAGTTCAGGCAGCATCACTTACCTTTACCCCAGCAAGCTGTGCTTTTCCCACCCCCAGAGCCATGGGAATGAGTTTATGGGGTTATTTTAACTGGGGCTGACAATCAAATTGCTGTCTCATAGTGCCAGATTTCTGATTAATGCTCTGAACCTGGAGGCTCCTGGGCAAAGCCGTTCCATGGCCCCAGGGGTTCTGATGGGCTCTAGAGATGGCCATGCTTCCCCTGCACACAGGAAAGTGTGAAGCAGAGCTGTGGGGTGTACATCTGGGTGCAGACAGAAGACAAGGCAAGGTTTGGAGAGGTTCCTGGAGCAGGAAAGGTGCCGCCATCCCTGAGAGGTGGAGGATGTCTCTCTACTTATTTTCATTTTGTTGGTCACCGAGGGAGTCCCCAGCCAGTGTCAAAATGCTCGCTGTCAGGATGCTAATGCTGAGGAAACTGTCAATAAAGATTAGCACTGAGCCTGGATGTTAAAAGTCAAGTCCAAACAATCTGCAGCCTGATACTGAGTTTGTCTGGTATTGAAATCATGGTCCTTTGCTGCAAGCTGGATAGAAAACGATCTTTCATCAGCTCAGCCAAGGGACAGGGACCTGTTGAATTGTATTTATAACTCCCAGGTGTTCAGATATTAAAGTAGGCAGAGATGGAGCTTCAATTATTAGAAGCAAAGCTAGAACAGAATACAGGGGGCTCTGTGAGTCTCAGCTCTGCTGAGCTTGCACCAGTGACGGGATTGCATTAGCTGGGTCAAAAGGCCAAGGAGGTAGCCACTTCAAGTATGGTCTGAAAATTAAATCAGAGGGCTAAGTTCTCTGATACAGCTGAGGAGAGGCAGAATGCTCAAGTCTTGGGTTGACACATTCCTGTTGTGCACCCCTCTAAAGTGTGCTCATGAAGAGCAATGTAACATGTGCTCGATATGCACTTACGTGCCTCAAGACCCTCTTACCTCCTCTGAACCATGGACTGGTTGAGATTAAAGTGCAGCTTCTGCCCAAAAGTAATTGAGCAACAAGGGGAATTTCACCTTGACAAATGTGTTGGCTTTGTGCAGTGTCCAAAATTTGCTAACTTCCCTCATCTCCCACAAAAATTTAAAACAAAATCCACCCAAGTAGAGCGCAGATATTTCAGAAGACATTTTTATAGAGTCACAAATTAAACTGTTTCCTGCAAAAAAAATCTGCAGGAGTCAAACCATCTCATTCCCTGCTGCCTTTCTCCTGCGTGGAGTCCTGTTTGTGTTAGCAGAACATCTTCCTCCTCTCCGAGTGCTCACATTTCACTACATCCTTGGTGCTCTCTGTTGCCTAGAAATGGACCCAGCAGTTCCCACGCATGTCTGCATGTGGGGATGCAGAGCTGCCTCCACAGCTTTTCTCCCACTGTGACTTCCCTTAGGTATTTTAAACCTTCTGTCAGCTACCCTTCACATTGCACACATGCTTCTCAGTCAAAGACAGGCTGAGACAGTCTTGTCTTCCAGCATGAACTGCTCATGACTTCCCAAAGCCAGCGTGGTCAGAGCACTCCTCCGGACCTCTCAGCAGAGTAACACTCCCAGTGCTCAATTCAGAGGCACCTGAGCCATTTGGGGTATGCCAGGGTATCTAAGACATCCACAGAGTGCTGAAAGGAGTGATGTGGGACCTATCAGAGATCTGATGTCACCCATGTTTAGGCACTTGAATAGCAACTACCATGTCAACGAACCCAACACTTGTTCCTTCCTGCCCCTGTCATCACTGATTCCATGCACTCTGTTGCTTCCTCACAATGAAGTTTCCTACAGAACAAATCACAACAGTGCACACTTTCCCAGGTATGTCAAGGGTATGACCGTGAGTGGAGGAACAGCTTCCCCTCTCCTTGAGCACCAGTCTGACACCAGTGTGGGATACCCATCTTGTGTGAGCCCCCACCGCTGCCAGCACAGCAAGGTGAGGGGGAAGGAAACTGCTCTGTCAGGAACAGGGGCTTGGCACGTTTCAGCAAGCACCTGCATGCTGTCCTCTGGGCTCAACAACTCACAGCCAATGTCAGCCACCTCACAGAATAGGAACAGCCCAGCTCTCTGCCAGAGCATCGTTTTGTTCCCAGTTCTGAGAAATTATGAGGCACTTTCTTACAGAATTTAGCAATGGTGAAAATTTCCTCTCAACAATGCAATAATCACCTTGGTTAATAAACTCTTCTTTCCTATTGCTTATGTATGTCTCTGCACTCCTGGAACAGGGTTATTGTCTGGCAAAAAGAACATAGCCCCAAGTGAGCATATAGCTAATGTGTCATCTCTCTGAGAACATTATTTTCTTGCTGATGACTTCAATCCATGTCTAATAGACTGACTGCAGGATTAGGAAGTGCATCATATTCATCAGGGCACTGGAAACAATTGATTAGTTTTTATCCAGTAAACAGAGACTATATCAGCATTGAAACTACGTCCCCGCTCCTATTTGTGCTTGTGTGGCAAGGACCCTGGGGTAACATCTCTCTGCAAATTTCTCAGCCAGAACCTGTATCTAATCTCCATTTTGCATGGAGGTTTGGACGTGCTGAAATAAGCCCAGTCATATGTATGGAATTTGTGTTCAGTGCCAAAGCAGGAACATTAATTGACTGCTTGTATGAGGTGTGTGAAATTAAGTGCCACATATTTATCTGATGGGCTTGTGCAGAATCAGTACCTCTTCTTACTGCTTTTTCCACCCAGTCAGTCAGGAACAGACCGTAATGATTTTGGCAAATGAGAAGTCACCTTGAAATCCACTACCCATCATTCAGCAAAATAAGGGATAAACTGAAATGACCAAAGATAATTTCAGATGTCTTTTGCATAATGTAGTTTGAGGGCAAGATCAGAGAACTGAGAGACTCTAGTAAGGAGAAATATCTTGTGCAATTTATATTCTGGGACCAGTTCAGCCGAAGTTTCTTAGTTCTTTACTCCTGCAATATATTTAAGCATGCTTTTCTCTGGTCTCTCTCTTTTTTGTTTGTGGTGCTTGTTGGCTCCTATGGAAGTTGCAGGACATAATTAATTAACAGGATGTAAATGAAAAGGTCTCCCCATTCCCTGCAAGGCAGCTGAGGTTGTATGCTGCTCTGTTCCCCAGCATTCCCATTTGTTCCAGTCCAGCTCTACATTCTGGGCAATGGGAGATGACCACTGGGAAATGGACAATGTCCATGGTTACTGGGATTACCTTTGAGAGTCCGTATTAGTCCACATTTTCCTCACCACCATCCTGCAGCCACATGCCATTTTATGCCTTTCTGATACATCATGCATTTTGGGTGCAATTTGCAAAGTTATTCGCAGAGGAACATGGAGGAAATGAAGTGCATAGCGCACACAACAGAGATGGGAACATCATCCAGCAGTGTAATTTCTCTTGGTTTCTAAGTTCTCTTTGCTACAGCCTCAAAGCAACCACACCTTTTTACAGCCAATGCAACTTCTTAAAATT